CAGTAGTAGTAGTACTAGTAGTAGTAGTAGTAGTAGTAGTAGTAGTAGTAGTTTTAGTAGCAGTAGCAGTAGTAGTAGTAGTAGTCGCAATAGTCGCAGTAGTAGTAGAGCAATCGCAGTAGTAGTAGTCGCAGTAGCAGTAGTTGCAGTAGTAGTAGTCGCACACAGTAGTAGTCGCAGTAGTAGTAGTCGCAGTAGTAGTTGTCGCAGTAGTAGTAGTCGCAGTAGTAGTAGTCGCAGTAGTAGAAGTCGCAGTAGTAGTCGTCGCAGTAGTAGTTGTCGCAGTAGCAGTAGTTGCAGTAGTAGTAGTCGCACACAGTAGTAGTCGCAGTAGTAGTAGTCGCAGTAGTAGTTGTCGCAGTAGTAGTAGTCGCAGTAGTAGTAGTCGCAGTAGTAGAAGTCGCAGTAGTAGTCGTCGCAGTAGTAGTTGTCGCAGTAGTAGTAGTCGCAGTAGTAGTAGTCGCAGTAGTAATAGTCGCAGTAGTAGTCGTCGCAGTAGTAGTAGTGTCGCAGTAGTAGTAGTCGCAGTAGTAGTAGTCGCAGTAGTAGTAGTCGCAGTAGTAGTAGTCGCAGTAGTAGTCGTCGCAGTAGTAGTAGTGTCGCAGTAGTAGTAGTCGCAGGAGTAGTAGTCGCAGTAGTAGTAGTCGCAGTAGTAGTCGTCGCAGTAGTAGTAGTGTCGCAGTAGTAGTAGTCGCAGGAGTAGTAGTCGCAGTAGTAGTAGTCGCAGTAGTAGGAGTCGCAGTAGTAGTAGTCGCAGTGGTAGTAGTCGCAGTAGTAGTAGTCGCAGTAGTACCTGGAAGACGTAACAGCCCTTAAAAAGTGCAAACTTCCCAAACAGGCCTTAAAATTCATTGGGTTTTCCACTTTAAGGACCGTTTAGATTTTTTTAAGGCCTGTTTGGGTTTTTAAGGCCTGTTTGGAATACTGGTTTTTTGTACTTTTTCTAGTAGAGCGCACGAGTCACTATTTAGCCTATCCTACCTACATTTGGCATTTTGCACTCCAGCTAGTCAACGCGCAGAATAGAAAGAAAAAAGTATACGCCGCAGATAAGCCCGTTTTTACACACAGCTGGCCAAGTGCTTGCTCAGCTCCTGCTTCACTAGGTGCCGCTGAAGCAAGTTCTCGCAACAGGTCCTAGGCGACATCCTACGAAGCATGCGAAGATTGGTTTTCACCCAATCCTCGTCCAGCCAGCAACTATCCCAGCCAGGATTGCGATGGCTAGGTCTGTCTGCAGCATCAGAAATGATGTGCTGCAGGATATGAAACTTGGGACGCAGCTTAAAGTAGTAGTCCCTACGAGAAGAAGCTAAGTGGGCCAGCTGCAAGTACGAGGACAAGAATGCATTCCCACAAAGCGAGATTTTCTCGACTTCCGCAGGGTTAAGGAAGCAGCTGCCACGAGTGACGGCTTCTTGAAGCATATTGGCGCTGTACAGGCACGCAGACAAGCCCTCGTACGGCGGAGGGGCTGCCTTCAAGCTTAGCTTGTAGGCTAAAAACCGTACCATAACAGCGGCATCCGAAGCCGAGCTTTTGTACTCTGGGCAGACATCTGCGCCAGCCCAGCCAAGGCGAGACGGTTTAATCTGCTGAAGGTGCATCTGCAAGCCGCGCTGCTTCTTGAAAAGGTTGATGTCGCGCTGAAGTTGTTTGAGCCTCTGCGACAAATTCGGGCCAGGCCAAAACTGCGTTTTCAGGCATATCTTGAGACATGATCCTATCAAGTCACGAGCCACACCTAAATTCCAGGTGTGCATGAAGTCTGCGCTGACCATGCGTAGAGTGAAGTTGGGCATCTCGCTGAGCGGCGGAAGCTCAAAGTACGGAGGTGCAGCAGGCCCCTCACGCCAGCCCGCTTGCGGGGAAATGTCAGTGTAGACCGTGCTGATGTCCTTGCGGCCCATAGAAGCGGTGCAGCGAAAGCACACCTGGAGCCAGCAAATATCAAAACGTTTGCTTCACAGCCTGCATGTCGCATATCTCGCTAGGTGGTAAACTATAGCAAGCTAGGCCTATTTTTTAGACATACAAACCTACTGCAAGCCAAGCACCTCCTCGCAGCCTGGAAACCGCGAAAAGTTCATGGCTTGCGCCAAGTACTTCAGGTCCCCCTTCACCGCAACCACGTGCAGAGTGAAAACCTAGCAGCAAAAAAACAAAGCCAAAACTCAAGTTCAAAACCATATGCAGGTTAACTGAGCCAGGGCGCTTCATTCTCTACCTGCAGGCCTTGGGCCAAAGCAACGAAGTCTTGCTGCACAGCACGCAGAAGAGCTTGCAAGGTCTGGTTCACCTTTTGGTGGATCATGTAGGCGTTGGTCGGGCAAGCGAACACTATGTTGCGCGAAGCCTTGGAGTTGTGCCGGAGCAAGCTGACATCGACCATCCTTGGCAAGCATAGATGACATCACCCGCGCATGACTCAGAAACATTTTTCTATATTTGACCGGGACTCCAGCTGCACAGCATCCACGAGTGCCTGTTGCTGGTGCCCTCGTCGCCCCACAAGACTATGGGGATCGCCCGCTCAAGGTTCTCCTCAGGCTGGTCGCAAAGCTCATGGCGAGGATAGTCCAGCAGCATGTGCTGCCAATAGAGCCGGAGGTGGGACCGGTCAACTATGACCTGCTGCAGCAGTTTGGAGGTTAGCAGGGCGCTGGCCACAGCTGACGGCAGGAGCACGGGGAGCTGCGAGATATCAACCTCATCCTCTTCTGTGCATATGGGGCAGTCCACCCACACAGGGCGCACATTGAGTGCAAAGCCTGCCCCGGCAACGCGGCGGTGGAACTCGCCTTCCCGCAGCGAGCGCGAGTTGTAGCCAGACAACACCGGCGAGCTGTATATGTCGCCTCAATTGATTGTCAGCACAGGCACGCAATATAGCACACTACAATATTTGCAAGCTAAGCTAGCTAGCGCAATCTACTCACCTACTAGCTCACCTAGTATAGCACCTATCCTACAGCGGCAAATTAAACGCCATGTGGCCCAGCTCGGAGGTGACCGTGATCGTGGCATCTCCCGCAGTGGCAGCACCTGCCAGCCTGACCGCCCGCAAATAAGAATGATGTGAGACCAGTGCTGCACGCACAGGCCTCAAGTCCAACTTGCCCTTCATTGAACTCAAGGACCCCGGGCCATATGTACCTGC